GGGGGGGGGGGGGACAGATTTAGCACACATATATCCCCCTACCCTCCTACTAGCAGCTGGTTGGCTCACTCCCTGCTCTTCCTCATTACCGAGGAGGCAGAAAGTGGAGGGTGTGTGTGAAATATCCAGGGTGCACGGATGGGCTCCAAGCTGAACGTGATGAAATGCACTGCAAGTCTTAAGGGTCTTCTTTCGCCTGTATTCCATTTCAAAATTTCATTTAAGATAGTTCTTATAAAGTAAGGTGATCAAGTAAAGAGAGAAGCCTCCTTTTTTTTTGCTATTCTCAGACTCCTTCTGGGAGCAGTAATACTCGAATATTCTGGGCCTTGGCACTATGATATTCATCACTGAGAGAATAGCTGAATTTCCTTGAAACTAATCCTCATATACCTAAAAGTGAGACTTGCAAGAAAAAGGTTGCAGTGCAGAGTGTTCCCCAATTCAGGTTCATTTTTTGTTCCTCTGCTTAGTCTATCAACCTTCAAGGGTCTCTTAACATCCTCTGGCTGTGTAGGCAATCAAGTTCCCCAGCCTGGCTATGCCTCCATCTTCGAAGGAGATGGTATTGTTGTGACTACATAAACAAGGGCATTCATAGCCTGAGCCATTGAAACAGAGGAAGGGAATTATATACAGTACCGCAGACTTATCCTGCTAACCCAACTCATTTTCTTATTCCAAAAACAGACTGGAAATGATGTGGGAAGTTTGGAATATTGAATGTCTAGACAAATTAACTTATAAGAAAGTCTCCCTAGATATGAGGTCTCTTTGAACTGTTTCTCAATATTTTGAGCCTAGATAATGTTTTCAATGGACAATTTATTTATTCTTCTTCTTGTTTTAAGTTAACTAAAGAAACAAAGCATGGCCAGGACTGAGCCAATCTAAGAGACAGCAGCTACAAAGGTTTCTTTTTAGATATCTAGGAATTTGTAAGAACCAATATTGAAAGAAAACGAATGAACAAGGCACACAGATAACAAGCCTTTCAGCAGAATCAGGGAGGGTGGGGGGAACAGCTTACAGCTCCACTGCTGGGCTTGTTGCCATGTTTGCTGCTGAGAGAGAAAGAAGATCCATGGACAAGCGCAAGTCTCTTGAACCAGAGCACAATGAAAGGAAACATCAGAATAATGCTATCCTAGGAAAGCTGACATCAGGATTTACATTTTTCCTTTTCTGCAGCCAAATTAACACACTTATACACACACACACTTCACCTCCTCTATGCTATTGGCTCTTCATAGGGCCAAGAGAAATGTGTTTTCCTGCCAATAACGGCTCCAGATTGCCCAGCTCAGCTAACCTTCACCAGATGTTTATTGTCTTTGATCATAATTTTTAGTCCTTTTAGTCTTTAGAAAAGGAAATTCAGCCTGTTGGGCAGTCAGTTTAAGTTCCCAGCTCTCCAAATCCATCATCTCATCAATTTATCTCAGCCAGATGAGGATCTACAGAGTGTCTATCTCAACAGAAACCTCGATTCTTAGGAAAAGCAGAATTCCGACAGCAGCATTCTGAATAATATCTGTGGTATTTCAACTGCAGAAATCTCCTTTGTCATGCTCCTTGGTCTGAATCCTTTTACAGGTGGGGAATTAAGGTTTTCAGGAATTAAGAGCAGGACAGGAATTTCAGCCCAGTCCAATGTTGATCTTCATGTTTTCATAACTTGATATACAATTCTTGTATGACTGGTTTGTAGCACAGATTTATGTTTTTACTTAAGACCACCCATTGGCTTCAAGGACAAAAGGAGAATAAAAAGGAACTTGACCAATTTAGTGATGGAACTATATTCACAGTTACAAGCTGTTTTGGGGCAGCAACAACAGCCTTTTGGGCACTGATTTATGAATATGGGACTGAATGGAGTATCTTTCATATTCATCCATGCCACTGCATATTCAAAAGCTGCAGTCAGATTACACAGAAGATTGGGGGTTAGAAAGGGAAAAGATTATGGGATGGGAAGCTTTGCACCAACCAGACTTCCTTAGACCTTTATCAGTGGATCTGGATCAGCAAAAGAAAAGACAGGAAGGGAATGAACTTTGACTGTTGTAAAATGTTACCTACTTTGCCCTAAGAATTCCTAGATTTCTGCTGTCATAGGCTTTTCTTATCCTGCTATGTATAACAAAAGCCTATACCAGCAGAAGTCTAAGAACTTCTGTAAAACTGACTATGACCATAATAAACTTTAACTAATTATACTGTTTGTTCTGTATATGGGATGACTAGGTTGTTTATTTAAGATTTGGCTGAACATCCCATCTCATTACTTGTTTCACTGTTTGGTGCTAAGTTTGCATTACATATTACAGGATAACGTACTTCAATTTTCTTGATATTATACAATATTATCATTGCAGAAATAGAAGTTATTTTTTTCACCTGCCTGTACTGAGAAAAGCTGAAAATAATAGATTATGATATCTGAAAACTGACCATATTAGCCTTCCCTGTCTTTATTTGGGGAGGATGAATTTTAGGCTGTGTTGGGCCTTCCCATCTCACATGCAGGAGAAGAGAAGAAATTGTTGCAACTGAATTCAGCTGCAAAACTGAAGATGTACCTAATATCTCAGTATGCACCCCTACTGCAGAACTCAAATCCCAGCATCCCAACCTTTGGCTATGTTTCTTAGTGCTGCTAGAATTGGAAGTTCAGCAACATGTGGAATACCATAGATTGTCCACCTCTGGGTTAGAGCGGCAACTCTCCACTTGCAGAGAACAGCCCACTGCTGGATTTGAGTGCAGGTGGCCCTCCCCTCCAGAGGAACAGTTAAGCAAATAGGTAAGCAGCCACAGCCAACAACAGCAAATCAAAAGTCCTGCTTGGATGACTAGCTTGAAGCTGGCAGAACAAAAGAGAGGGACGAAACGTCCGCAGGGCATGAGCCACAGTAGGGGAACAATCATTCCACTACTTCCTAGTCCAACCTTGGACCTTGTTTGGACATTACTCCTAGCCACGCAAGATGAATTATGCAAGACAATGTTATGCTCATAAAACTTCTATGAGTTTTTCAGATTCAGTCTTGCATCTTTTGCTGCTTGCAGATACAGGAGTGTATCTTCTTGTGAACTGAAATAGTCTTAGACAATAAAATCATCTAATAGACATCACTTTTTCTCAGTGAACGATGGTAGCATATGCAAAAATGCTTTTTTCCCATGACCCTGTGCCTTAGTTTTGTACTGTACTGTCAGGGTAGAAGACCATCCAGCTCAACCTTCATGGTATACCTGATGAGCAACTGAATGTGAAGCATTTGTTTGCAGTAATGCTATTTGTTTTGATTATTTGGAGAGGCAGTAGGAATTGAATTGAGAAACAGCAACTCGCAATCTATGCTCATTATAACTAACTATTGTGTCTTTTCCCCCCTCTGAGTTTATAAAACTTTTAGGTATGTTCATATTGTATTTCTGACCCACAGATTGCAGGAACAAAGAACTATTTCAACCTGAAACAATGGACCACTGCAGGGCTGCAGGAACCTGTGAGCAGAGAAACAACTGAGGGCACTCACAGACTGTGTACTAGAAGCCCTACTCTGACCTCTAGAAGCTTCTAGACTCGAAAGATTATTCAGTGTTCTACATGTGTTTAACCATTGTAATGTTAATTACTTCAATCATAGTATGACATTTGTAGTAAAACATTAATAAAAAGGCATGTTAGATACTACTTGCATATCTTACCAATCTGGATAATGCCCTGGAACCTGAATAAATAATACCCACAAAAAGTGCAGAAGCTGGAAGCCATGATATTACTTCAGACCTGTAACAAATAATAATAGTAATAACATCAACAACAATCCTTCATTTATGATCATGTCACCAGTTTCTGTTTATGAACAACTTTAAAGGACATCCCTTTTTTTTCCTGAATAAAAATAATTTCAGCCAAAGAAAAATACAAGCCAGCATCACTTTGACCAGATGAGAGTAAAATATGTAGAGCTGAAAGCAATCCAAGGTACATATGGTGTCTGAATACTTCTGCAACACATAGGTCTGTGTTTGTATTTTCTGATAACTACCTTACAGTGGTTTATTGTGTGTGTGTGTGTGTGTGTGTGTGTATATAAAGAGTGAGTTTTGAATGCTCAGGAATGTATTCAAATGACCTTATTAATATTGATATCATGTTTTTAAAGGTAGCTTAAATTGTATTTTCAAGGACAGTATGGAAGCAAATAACAATTTATAAAAATACTTTATATTATAGTCAGAAAAAAGGACAAACTGTTTCAATAAAATGAAAATATTCTATTGATATTTAATTGTTGGCCATTACTGAAAGTCCATATGACTTAAACACAATGGTAATGCATAAATCTGCTTTATAGTTCAAATTATTAATATAATTGTTACTCTATTTACAGTCAGATGAGGCTAACCAGAAGCTTGAATATTATCATCCCTTTTAAGGACATCGGTCCAGATAAATTTCCTTAGGACCAATCTAGCGACAGTAGTTACACTGTTGGTAACATCAAATCAGATGCCTCCTTAAAGTAAGCAGAGTCATGTAAGCTGGGAGAAAAATAAAGCACCAAGGCTTGAGAACAAGACCTCCGTAGGAGAACCAGAGATCATTGACCACAGTGCGAAGTTTTAGGAATCTCTGGCCATATAAGAAGCAATGGAAAAGAGCACAAAAGCTGTTCCCATGATGTAACAACCGAATTCTGTGCTGCCAAGAGGGTTGGAAAAGAATGTCTACGACTACAGGAAATGCTTCAGCAGCAATCATTATTCTTATGGGCCAAACCATACAATGGTGAAACTCAGAGTCTGCTATAATGACCATGCAGAAGCTCTGGATTGTGTATTTTTAACATGTCAGGAAGAAAGATGTAATATTACACAAATAGGAAGGGTAACTGTATTATGTTAGTCTTGGGGATGACAGATAAAAACTACAGTCCTGGGTTAACCATTATTACTTTTTCACAAGGAACCTTGCCAATAGCTGTCCAATGAAAAAGTCAATGGCATCAGTCAGAAAAAAACTCAGAATCCAAACAAAGAACAATTCCAAGCTTCCTTTGTTGATGAGCTGAGAAGCCAAGTTCATTTAAAATCAATTTAAGGTTGCTATATAGGTGCTCTCTTTGTCTGAACCACAGCTTGTTCAATCAGAGGAACAGAATGGAAAAGAAAAGTTTCAAAGAGCACGCCTGTGTCAACAACAAACTTTCAACTCTTGGATATTTCAATCCATGCTGTACTTGTAGAATATAAATTATGAAATGTTATAAAATGTTCATTTTAAATGTTATTGCAATTAATGCAGAGAAATTTAATAATGTAAAAGATAATAATTAAACTGAAACTTAATTTAAAATTCGCAACTCTCCCAATTTTACATTGTGGCTCACCAACAATGATAAAAACATGGGTTGTGAAAGAGTATACAAAAAAGTGTGAAAATTACTACAAATATACAATATTAGATATTTTTTAAAATGGCATTTGTTTACAGAAATATCCATACAAGTAAAATAATCTTGATTTCAGTGAACCAAATGTAACATAAACAGAAATGAAAAACTAAAAGAAATCCAAAGAGGAAGATTCAACCATTCCTCACTGTTAGTCCCTCTAAAAGCAAAGTCTATTTAGCAAAAATGTCTGAAGAGTGGGAAGAACTCATGACGTGAGCATTGTCTAAGTTTCAGTCATTATGTTTGACATTTCTACGTTCATTCTTCTTGACTTGGATTATCCAGATGCTTCAGAGGAAAAAAAAAGTGGGGTAGGACTATGAAGGCAGTATGTTAACTATCAGACAGAAATACAGAAAAAGATAAAATGAATTACATTATAAATATTATAATTTACTTCAACACTGACATCAACATTTTTTAATAAATTAACAAATTGCTTACATAAAATTCACTCCTGAGATCTGGCTCTGAAAGGCTGCAGTACACGCCTGGTGGGAGAGTTTCTAAACTCAAGAATTATTCGAACATATTCACTCCTCAAAACCCCTGTGATGGGACCTCTGGGCTATAGTAACAAAGTAGCAAATCTGGGCTCTAGATAATTAGTCCACTTGCTCAGTTACACTGAGGATAAACTCTAAAGCAACATTCAGCAAGCTGTATATTGGACTGAGGCTGTGGAATGAATAAAAACTCAAAGCAGGAATTTAATTCAGATATGAAAGGTTTATAATGGCTGATTCAAGGATGAGGAGATAGTGATTTTGCCGGTGTTAATGACACATTCCCTCAGAAGGAAAAGTTTCTGATCACTGAGGTGTTCTATTAATACATACAAATCTGCTCAGTTCTCAGAGGGCAAACTGTGTCTTTTAGCAGATTTAGCCAATGAGCTGATGGAGAATTCTCCTTTCACATAAAAATCTATGTAGCCTAAGTAATCTGTGTAACCACCTAGTTGGACTACTGTTACACTAGGAGCTGTTACTCTACATGGAGCTGCCTTTGAAGGCTGTTAAGAAGTTACTAAGCCTTACAGAGGAGTCATACAGGGCACATTACAAAGCATGTTAGTGTGAGTGAAGCACCCCTACTCAAAATATTAAAGTGGCTGTCTCCTGTGGAAGATTCACACAACCGTTTCAAGGCTTTCTTCCACAACTGTTGAAAGGCTATGAACCTTTTTGGTGGACAGAGTTGCTTTAACACAAGGATAGGAAGTAAACTTTGTCAAGTATCTATACTGAATGCTTTGCACAACACTAGAAGTGACAGCTTGCAAAGAATTTCAAAGACCATCTGATAATCTAATGAAAAACTCCTCTTATGTATTGTCTGCCTGCTTGTTTGTCTTCAAGTTTAATCAAAGGTGATGATGTTGACTTTTATAGTACACAAAGATCCTCTTCCTTCCAGATCTATGGAACATAGATGCTTTTATTCCTGAACAATGGCATAATACTGGGAATTTTCTGGCTTAAATTACACTGACATCTAGTGCAGTAAAACCCATAGCTCCAAATCTAAAAAAATATATACAGAACAAAATGATGGGAATCAAGATGTTTTGAAACTAAGGGCTCCAGAATATCACCAGTCAAAAGGCATTGGGCAGCTACTCCAAACTGCAGGTTTTTTTCATGGAATGAAACATAACAAAAACCCAGTGAAAAAACATTGCAAAGATTGGAAGAGGACAAAAAAGTTGTCTAGACCTCTTCTAAAATTCCACGAATGAGATAGTTAATAAAAGTGTGGAAGCATCCAGTGCTGCTGCTTTTTTAAAAAACAGAATGCATTAGAGTAAGAGAATAGAAGTTAAGCATCTGCTGCATGAAATTATACCACAATTAAGGGTTTTATTTACATATAAATAACCACCCACATCCACCCTTACCTACTCTCAGGTACAACTAAAATGATAATGCTGACAGTACAGTAATCAGTAAGAATCTTTTACTATCTACCTTCACATTAAAGGCCATTGTCATCTGGCTATGCAGCACTACAGAATATTTAAAAATCTGAGTAATTCACTGAAAATAGTTTCATGCTTTAAGGTGGCCAGGATGAATTTCTCTTATTTAACATTAAACTTGATTTTCCTTTCTCTGGAAGGAAGAAATGCTTTCCTTCCAGCATTCTTTCAAAGAATATCCAAAACTAATAATTATTGTGAAGAGTTTGTTCGACGGAGGGACTGGAACATTGTTAACATTCTAGAAACAGGGGTGTTGTGGTTGTTATTGTTTTTGGTTCTAGATGCCATCTGATGTTCAAAAGCAGATTTTTATGGAGTGGAGAAATCTACTCAATGTTAGTGGCTATTTTAGTGGTAGAAAAACACCCATGGTGCACACATCAGGCAGCACACTTGACAAAAACAGTGAATTGTGGATCTCGTGAAAGTAGGAGAACAGTCACAGACAGGTGTGCCAAAAGAGTCAAGATGGCAATGACGGCATGATCAAAGCTCCACTTGTTTTTTATGTACATTGCACATAAAACATCCCAATTACAAAATCAAGTAAAAAAAAATTGTCTTAATTTTTTTAAAAAGTCCACTTCAGAGTTCTTGCAATATTAAGGGAAGAGGAATGGGAATACAATCAAACTATACAGCAAAATGATATCTCTCTCACTGGATATTCATCGGAATACTTCAGAGCACTATCTATTAATATTGGTTTATTTATTTATGCTGCACTTTCACCTATACCTTGAACTGCTGTTGATCTCAACCCAGCCGATTTTCCAGGAAACATGTAAGAGAAATCCACCAACAAGCGTCTGCCACCTGCAATTGCAACACATGTCAAAAAAATCACTTTAAAAAAATCTGGGATATTTGTAACTTGTAATGGAGGCTTCTGGATTCTGTACAATGTATAGGATGCTAAATTTCAGTTTCTAGTACCATAGGCTTTGTGCTTTTTCTTGCTGAAATTCATGTGGATTCCTGCTGCTAAAGTTTTTTTATTATTATTATTAGGGAGCATAGGAACAAAGTTATCCATCTAACTCAGTAATGTATGGAGCCCATAGGACTTTTGATAGGAGTCTTTCCTAGCCCTGAACTGAGATGTTAGTGATAGAGTGTGGACAAGCTGCGTGGAAAGTACATGTCCAATGACAGAACAAACACTTCAATGACCACTCCTTATCAAAGGACATGTTTGTAAATGACACAGAAGACATTTTTATATTTCTATCATATGTGATGGAAGACTGAGCCCTTTCCTGGGGTAGAATGTAGATTTAATCATTAAATTAAATCATAAAGTAAGTACATTGAGTAAGCACCAACTGGAAGTAAGCAGCATGAGCTAAGAGACTTTAGATGCACAACGATAAATGTATTTCAAGCCTCTTTCATCTACTTTTTGTAATGGGAAAAATGAGAAAAAGGTCCCATGCTATTAGTTTTGTTAAGGTACTAGCTCCATTTAACCCTCCTCTAGCCAAACTGTTCTCATTCTAACTATCATATAAAAAACTCTGTAACATTAAGAATTGGTGGCTAAATTAGTTTTTTCTTCTTCCATCCCTATTCCATACATGTAAGCAAAGTCATAAAGTGAGCTACTTTAGTTTGAGTTAGTGTGTTATGAAAGACACCCTTGGCTTAGTGAATTGTATAAAACTAACAAACAATGGCTTATTTAATTAGCATAGAGCTACCATATCTGGGCTGCTAGTAACCAGACCACTGCTAGATAATAGTAGCAGTTAAAGTTTTCTGTATCTCTGCCGCCATCTAGTGGTACGTCAATTCTTTGCAGCCCAGATACCATAGCCCTAGCTTAGTATGATATGCAAACCATGTTTGTTATCACATCTGCAGACCAGGATTGTCTCGCTTGTTCCTGATCAAAAGAAATGAAAACAAAGCATGCATACAGTACATTATTCCCACAATTAACTGTTATAGCAGGACATCATATACAGTCAGGACCAGAAATATTGGAACAAGGATAATTGTTTTGGCCTCTGTACACCACCACACTGAAGTTGAAAGGAAACACACCCAGATGGGACCAAAGTCAGGACTTTCAGCTGTAATTCAAGGGATTTGACA